CCTCTCTTTTTGATAGGACGGATGATGGTTCCTCTTTGTTCCCTTCCTCTTTCCCTCCCATGTTAGCTCTCTGCAAAGGGAAATCTGATGAACACCAATGAAAAGTGAATATGTGATGATAAATTCCAGCAATTGCAGAGGGTTCTGATGAAATCTGGAAAATGCAATATCCAGGAACAGGGTTTTTTTTTTTTTTTTGAATTCCAGGCTGATAACCAGAACCCAGAGGATGAATTTCATATTCCTTCTGCCGATTGAACAAAGAAATGAAATTGTTCATGCAATTTCCTGATAATGGCAGAACAAAAGGTTGCAAATGAAACAGAGGATAGATAACATTGAGGATGAAGAAAAAAAGCTTTTTCCTACCTGTCACCTGATACGAAGAAATTCTGTTCTTGAAATCCAAACCCAGAGGCCGACGATTGTCTGCAAATTACCTGAAGCCATCGACCATGTTTCGATTTGTCTTTCCTGCCTTAGGAGAGTGCTTTCGTTTCCTGCCCCGGTGCAATGGAAAATTCCTTCACAGCTTCAATGGATTCCGAGGGTTTATTCGTTAAGAATTGTTTGATTCAAAAAGGTTATGATAATGTCGGATCTTCTTTGATTATTTCCACGGATTTAGATGATAACGAAAATTTGTAAGAAAACCCGAATGGAATAATTCGGAGCCAGAGCCGAAACAAAGAGGATCAGGTTACAGGCTGGGGCAGGGCAAATTGTAAACACCGTAAGGAGGTTACAAAAACAAGGCAAATCGAAAGCGGAGAAATCGATCGGTCCGAATTCTAATGGAGGTGGGAGAGAATGGAGAATTCCTCTACATATATATGTGGCTGGCGCGGAGAATTGGTAAATAAAGGTCCACGCGGCCGGACGATGACTGACAGGAGTTAATTACTGAAAACAGGGGAATGGAAATGGCGGCGGTGACCGCAGCAAACGGGAAAAGCAGCGGCGGAGCGAAATCCGCAGACTTCACGGCGGTGGAAATTGGGGAGGCGTTGAGCCCAACTGCCAGCTTGTTCCACTCCCCCAAGCTCAACTGCTGCATAATTGCAGTGTTGGGCAGCAAGACCGCCATCGATCCCGCCGTCGTCAAGTCCGGTCTCGAACGCACTTTGATCAGACACCCTCGTTTCTCCAGCAGATTGGTAGTCGACGATCATGGATGCAGAGGAAGGAAACTGAGATGGGAGAAGACCATGGTAGAACTCGACGATCACATCATAATCCCGAATTTAGACGACGACGATGGCGACGGCGAGATCTTCACAACCTCCCCTGACTCCGCCGTCGAAGACTACATTTCCCGCCTCTCCACGTTCCCGATGGACGTCACCAAGCCGCTCTGGGAGCTCCACATCCTCAACGTGAAGACGCGCGACGCGGAGTCGCTGTTCGTCTTCAAGATCCACCACTCCATCGGCGATGGCGCCTCGTTGATCTCTCTGCTCCTCGCCTGTGCGAGGAAATCCTCTGACCCTAATGCTCTGCCTTCAGTTCCGGTGAAGAACCGGCGGGCGAGGAGGCAGGGCGTGGTGTCGGCTAGTGGTTTCTGTTGGTCTCTGGTTTGGTTGATTTGGGCGGTAGTTCGATTGGTTTGGAATACTCTGGTGGATGTGTTGCTGGTGAATGCGACAGTGTTGTTCTTGAGAGATACGAGGACTCCGATCAAAGGTCCGGCGACAGGGGAGGGGCGGAATGGGAAGCGGTTTGTGCATCGGACGGTTAGTTTGGGTGATATTAAGATGGTCAAGAATGCTATGAATATGGTAAGTTAAAACTTAATCCCTTGTTTAATCCTTTGTCAATTGAAGGGTTGGAGTCGTCGGATCAAGCGCGCACCCCACATCCACGGCCTATCTAATGAGCGTGGGGCTTTTAGCGTTTGATCTGACGACTCTGAACCTTGTAAGCACGTTCTCACAAAACGACTATCAACAATTCAACATCATAGGTAGATTATTCCCACATTGCCTTTGTTTACATGTCCACATTACATTTCTTAATTTCGAATACATGTCATCTGTCAGTATCTCACAACAGTTTGTTAATTTCAAAAGTATAAATTACACATTTCAAACTAACCAACATTGTCAGTTCTTGTATGCACTTATAGTTTAGTGTATGTGTCGTGTCGTAAATGCAACTCATGCATCTTAGTCCTTGTATTCTTGCTATCTACTAAATAATCTTTGCTTATTGTTTGTCCCAAATTAATCATTGTTATTTTTCCAATTTGGTCGTTGAGAACTTAGTAGACCATCAACGATGTCTTACTTGGAGTGACAGAAGCCGGTATCTCTCGATATCTCAACCGAAAATACGGCAAGTTTCCTTTCCTAGTCCTTTATTTTTCTTTTTAGATAATTGTTAGCTTCAATCCTCGAACTTAGAACATGGTACATTGTAACCTCTCACATTATCACTAATCCAACCCCTTGCGCTATCCTTAATCATTTGTCCCTTACAACGATCAGATCTATCGTGCACACAATGACGATTACCTGATCATGAGTTGTCGTAAATCTTATAGGTGAGAACCAAAAGAATGAAGAGAAACAGAGTAATCAGATTCAAAAGAGCTATCTCCCAAGCACAATCCGACTTAGGGCATGCATTATGGTCAACATGAGACCAACGACAGGAATCCAGGATATGGCAAAGTTGATGGCCAAAGGACCAAAGGCGAAATGGGGATGGGGGAATTGGATTGGTAACATGATGATTCCTCTCACCATTGCTCTGCGAGACGATCCATTGGACTACCTTTGGAGTGCCAAGGCCACAATGGATCGAAAGAAGCACTCCTTGGAGCCAATTTTAGAGTTCATAGGAGCTAGAATCCTTCCCATGGTATTTGGAGTCAAGGTAAAATTAAAAGATTTTATTGATATTTGGAATCAATTATCAATATGTGTCGCTCTTGATGGAGAACGACTGACATTTCTCTATAAGTATGTGTAAAATACAGGCAACTGTTGGAATCTTCCACAAGATATTGTCCAACACCACATTGGCCTTCTCTAATGTGGTGGGTCCAGTAGAGGAAATCAGTCTTTACGGGCATCCGATAGCTTACATTGCTCCGAGCGTTTATGGACACCCTCATGTAAGTGCTCCACTAAATACGATGAAATCTACCTACCAAACTTGATGATAGATATACTAGATTTAATAGCTATTTTGTGTCCTTTGTATTTCGTCCTTTTAACGATCATTTTTGTACTTAATGTAACCTCAATTTGTAATTTCGCATAAATCCGTTAAAATGGGTCTTGCTCATTTGTGTCAACAAAACTTTTAATAGAGATTTTCCATACTACCCTTGTCCTATGCATCCACCCATGTGCCACTATGACAAAAGAATGGGATTGATGTGATCTCTCAAGATCCATGATGCAATTGGTTTTTCATTTGAGCAGGCATTGACGATTCACTTCCAGAGCTACTGCAACATGATGACCATTTCAGTTGCAGTTGATCCAGAAGTGATTCCTGATCCGCATGTGCTCTTCGATGAGCTTGAACAATCCCTCATAATCATGAAGGGAGATGTTACACTGAAATTCCCAAAGAAAGGACCAAATGTAGGTTGGAAGGAGATTCTATGAGATAAAGAAAAAATGCCTCTTGAGAGGTTGTTGAATTTTGTATTGTGATTTGCGATTTTGAAGATATTTTTATTACTTGAGATGCTATATTGAACAATCGAATATCGAAATTTAAAATTATTTAATCAAAAGCACAGAAAATCCTAGTTAGAGTATGGAACAAAAAGAGGTTTGACCCAACTGAGCATATTGTTGAAAGGAAGGTTATTTATCTCATTCTTTACCAATGAAGAAAAGCGACAGGTGAATTTGATATAAAATGGTGGTAGTGTGAGATTTTGTACCTATAAAAGCCAAACAAAGTGGTCTTCTATAATGAAAGTTTGTTGACCAATTTTGCTTATTTTTGACCGAATTAAAGCCGATTTTGCTAGATTTTAATCGGGTTGAACCAGTTTTACGAATTCTAATGAAGTCCAAACCAAATGAATAACACCCATTTTTTCCACCGATGGACAACCTGGGTCCCTTGCTATCTGAAATCTTATTTAACGCCCTAACTTTTAAAAATTTAACGCCCTAACCTTATCAAAGAGACGATACTACCCCCAATCACTAAAACTGCATCAGCTGCCCCCAATCCCTAATTTCCCTCTGCTACGCTCCTCGCCCTAGCCCTTCTCTGCCGTCGCACGGTCGCCGCCGCAAACTCGTGGGGGAAGAAGGGATTCGACGCCGGGCTCCTCCTCTGTCGTCGCACAGCCGCCGGCACGAACCCTAGTAGGCAGAAGGGATTCGACGCTGCCCACCTCCTTTGCCGCCGCCCACCTCTTCGTCTCCCTCCATCTTCAATCCAACGGCGGACACCACAATCGACCAGCGTTGTACGAATGACCGACGAGAAGACCCAATCCTCTAATCCGCTCTACAGAGGCAATCCTCCCATGGGTGAACGCACAAGAACTCGCGAGCACAGCTTCCATTCCGCTAACCCTTGCTCTGCTCCGCCCGTCGACGACACGGGGGATTTTTCTCCTGTTGGGTTCTTCTCGGTCGAGGAAGGAGCCGGAAGGTCGTCGCCGGCAACTCCCAGGGGGAACAACGACGACTCCCAGGGCGAACGACAGTGACGGAAAAAATCCTAGGGCGAAATTTGATCAGAGTTGGGAATATTTTGAGGGCAAAAATGTCAAATATCTAAGTTAAGGCGACAATTTAAAAAAGTTAGGGCGTAAATTAGTTACTCCCAGCTATTTGTATCCAAGGGCGCAAGCACATACGGAAGCATTTTGTGTACCAATTAACATATAGGCGGTAGATCCCAATTGGACACCATCCGGCTTTGGCCCAATAAGCCAACAATTTGGCAGCAAAGCAGACTGACGAAAAGATTACAAAAGCATTAAGGAAACGACTTCATTGATAATTCAATCCATTCATCCGGTCAACAACAACTAAACAATTCGAAGAGGTAGAAATTAGTCGCGGTTGGTTGCTGGCTTTTGGTTGGAGAAAACAGAAAGAAAATCAAATCCAATATGCCATCCCCTGTTTCAATTTTTCAAAAGGCAACACAAAAAAGCTAAACGTGGGTAAGATACATAATAGCAGAACCCCTGAACCTCCACTAACCATTCCTCTCTCCCGCCAGGCGCCAGTTCCCAAAACCTAGTGAGTAGAGAAGACGGAAGAGCATGGCGGGCGAAATTAGAACAGCAGAAGTGGTGGTGGCGGCAGATATTAAAGCCATCGACAAGGAGAAATCATCATTCACGGGCTACGCGTTGAGCCCAGCAGCCCGTTTGTTCCACTCGCCCAAGTTCAACTGTTACATCGTCGCCATCATGGGCTGCAAGACCAAGATCAACCCCGCCGTCGTCAAGCTCGGACTGGAGCGCACGTTGATCAAACACCCTCGTTTCTCCAGCAAACCGGTGAGAGCCCCCGCTCCCAATTCCCACCAATCCTTCCTCTTTCGTTTTTCCTTTCGATTTTCTTAGATTGACCTTTAATTTGAGTACCTTTTTCTGTGCGGCACTTGAGCTAAGCCTGATTGATCGTACCCTGATGGTGGGTACCTTTCAGCGTGTTTTGAGCAAATATCTTGATTCCTTCTTTGGATTTTCTTTAAAGACCGAAAAGGGATGGTTTTTGTCCTCTCATCTATCCAACTTTGGAGAAACTTCCAATCATTGTTTGGGGGGCCATTTTTGTCATTTGACCCTGTTCCCTCTGGTGAAGGACTGAAGGTGATTGAACTGGTGGTTTTCTTGTCTAGGGTAAGATTACCTCACAAGTTAACCATCAAAACGTTCGTGTCAAACGTTAATGATTCTTGTCCCCCCCACCTCTTCGTATCTTTGAAATAGAAAAGAGGAAATTTTAGTACTCCATTCATTCCATCTTTAAATTGGGTTATCAATCATTAGTGGGTAGTTCAAATTGTTCAACTATTAGCCAAACTGGGTGGTGGGTTCCTTAAAGAATGACTTCCTAACTCTTGCCATGATCATTGAGCTACTGTAATGTCCGGAATCATAATGAATTGGTCTGAAAGGTTGAAACTTTAAGCTTTTATCTGGTGAAGAAAAGGCCGCACCAACTGGGTATTGATATGGCTAGTGGCTTTGAGCAAATGGATTCTATCTCTTGATATACTTGTCTTTGTTTCTTTCCCTGGCTATATTATCATCTGGCTGGCCCTAGAATGGTTTGTTTTTATGCGGTCTAAAGAATTTCCCCAACTATGGAGTTTGGCATCTACACTATGGTTTAGGTAGCTGATCTGTTGTACTTGTGTTCATGTTGTGTGTTAAATCAATCACAGGTGGTTGATGGGTGCAAAGGCAGGAAAATGAAATGGGAGCAGACTGAAGTCAATCTAGATGATCACATTATCATTCCAAATCTGGATGATGGCGATGTGGTGGAGTCACCGGATAAATTTGTTGAAGACTATGTTTCTCATCTCACCACATTGCCATTAGACTTAAACAAGCCATTATGGGAGCTACACCTGTTGAACGTGAAAACTTCTGATGCAGAAGCTGTTGGGGTGTTCAAGATCCATCATTCCATAGGTGATGGTGCCTCATTGGTGTCTCTTCTTCTAGCTTGTACCCGAAAATCCTCCGACACTGAAGAATTGCCTACTGTTCCCATGAACAACAAGCCTTCTCCTGGTGCTGCTGCTCTCTCTGGTGGGGTGTTTTTGTTGATTTGGACGCTGCTGAAGCTGATTTGGAACACTTTGGTGGATTTGTTTCTGTTTGCTGCTACAATGTTGTTTCTGAAAGATACAAAGACTCCGATCAAAGCTCTAACAGTGGAAGGACAGCAGCTCAGGAGGTTTGTGCACCGTACTGTTAGCTTGGATGACATTAAGCTGGTGAAGAATGCATTGAATATGGTACAGTCTGACTTGTTCTGCCAGTAGTTCAAGTTGTGAAACATTTCTATGTAGCTGTTTCATGACCATTTTTAAAGAGTTGTAGGATTGCTGTCGAAAGTAGCAATCTTTTTATTATAACTCAATGGTAGCACGGATGAGTTAGTTTCTACAGAAAGCACTGCATCTTGTCTGTTTGGCTGAACGTACTGCTTATATGATGGCAGATTATGTTTCCTTCTTCATGCTGACTTTTTAGTTTCTTGATCCGGACTTTAGTAGACGATCAATGATGTCGTAGTCGGAGTAACACAAGCTGGTCTCTCGAAATATCTATACCGCAGATATGGTGAGCTTTGTCCTATTGATAAAGTTTCTGTTTTTCTTCCTATGATCGCAGAAGCTAATAGATTTCCCTGATTTAACAGGTGAAGATCAGCAACATAGGGGAACAGAAAGTCAGAAACTCGATATTCCGAGGAACATAAGGCTTAGAGCATCAGTTCTAGTTAACTTAAGGCCAACCACCGGGATCCAGGTACCAAAACTATCCAGCTCCTGCTGAAAAGGATCTGTCTAAACCAATACTTTTGTGTGAATTCAACATTGTGTTTGAAAGGGCCGCCTGTTGATGTGCCTTTAAATATGCTCTCATGCTCAGGATTTGGCTGATTTGATGGCCAAGGGACCGAAGGAGAAATGGGGATGGGGGAACTGGATAGGGTACCTAATGCTTCCTCTCACCATTTCCTCACAAGATGATCCTCTAGAACATGTTCGAAGGGGGAAGTCCATAATTGATCGAAAGAAGCTCTCTTTAGAACCTGTTTTTACATGTCTAGGCGCCAGGGTAGTCATCCAGACATTGGGAGTCAAGGTAAAGAAACATTTAGCAGAAAACAAGGTTTTTGAGTTGGTGTTGTTCTGGGTTAATGATTTACTCACCTTGACATTGGAAACAGGTGGCTTCTTGGATTGCTAACAGAGTCCTTTTTAACACTACATTAGCCTTCTCAAACATGGCCGGTCCTGTAGAAGAAATCAGCTTTTATGGTCACCCACTCTCGTACCTTGCTCCAACCGTCTATGGCCATCCCCATGTAAGTAGACCCTCTCTGAACCCTGAACTTTCAAAACATGGAACTCTCCTGAGACTGTCAAGCCCTCCTGGGATTTATCACATGTCCAAGAACCATTAGATTTTTTTCTTCTTATCTTATCTTGTGGCTTACAGGCGCTGACGATTCATTTCCAGAGTTATTGCAACACGATAACCATATCTCTGGCCGTTGATCCGGGATTGATTCCTGATCCTCATGTGCTCTGTGATGACCTTGAAGATTCTCTTAAAGCCATCAAGGAAGCTGTTGTGCAGAAATTTGTACAGAAAGATCCCGGTATTGTGTAGAGAAAGAACAAGTAATGGCAGAAAACAGTCTTAGCTTTCACCAAGAGATAGATAGGTACAGAGAACGCTCTGAATATAGAGATGTTAAGGAAATGGCCAGAGCCCAGAGGACGATACTATGCAGAAATACATGTAAAGCACAGACTACACAGAATCACAGATAGATGTTAAAACATCTTTTGGTTTGTAAGGTACATATTCACATTGTTTTGATTTAGGATTGCTAGATCGAGTGAGTATAAAAGATCCATTCTTGTTGCTGGTTGTGTTTTGCTGGTCTGTCAAATGAATAAGAGATCGCGTTGTGAACGCTTTCAACGCGAAAGCGTTGCCTTTCAATATCCTCGAAACAGCATAAATCTCACAAAAATTTACTTGCATTCCAAATAGTACTAGGGAAAGAGAAGAAAATGGCTAAAACTAAAACTGAGCTTGCTCCAACTCACTACTTCCTACACCTCCATGAAGAGACAGAGTAAAGCGGCCTATCTTGCCAACAAATCACAGCACAGCCATTCTCTTCCTTCATCCTATACCCATCACATCCATAGCTCTCCAGCAAACCCTTACCCTGCAACATCCCATAATAGCTCAAACCAAGATTAACAAAACCAGCCATCTCAATCCTATGAATCCACTTCTCGAGCTTCTCGTGCCTTTCCTTCCTCTCCCCTCCTTCACATGCCACAATGTTCTTGATCTCCTCGCCAAACATCATCTTCTCCACCTTCAGCCTCTCGATCGAGCTCCTTGGCACCGTTGATTCCAAGCAATCAAACAAAGCTGCATAAGAATACAGTGCCTCGAGAAGCCTCTCCATGAGCGTGGCTCCGTTATGGTTCGAGTCTTGCTCTGTCACCACCATAACCTTAGGCGATAAACCCCACAGCACGTTCAGAAACCAATCCATCTTCCCTTGCGAAGAAGAAGGAGAACCAATTGGTGGTGATGATGACGACGAGGCTGAATCAAAGCTATTGTCTTTCTGATCAAGCAACAGCTCCCCCAACGTGCCTTGCCTCTGAAGCAACCTCGAATTCGGGTTCTTGTGGGAGGCAAGGAAAGGATGCAGCTGGAGAACAGAGCTTATCGCCAGAGCCTCCCCTGTTTTCACACGAAGCTTCTCCGGATCGAGATTCTCCAACCCGCCACTAACAACAATGGGGTTGAACTGGAATGGAATGTCCAATCTCTCTGCTTCCTCAACCAGCTTGTGACTCATTCGATCCAGTACCTCTCTCTGCTGATGAATCCCTGTAATCCTCAAATGCGGAGGACCTTCAGCCCGCCCACTCAAAGCTTGAAGGAGCGCAATCCACTGCGAAGGCTCGGACGCATTGAGATCGATGACATGCACCATTTTCTCACCTTCCATAGCCTCCAGAATTGCCTGGTTAGTAACCACGAACGCGACCTTCAAGAACGGGAACATCTCGTAGAAGAGACTCCTGACCATCGTTTCCTCTGAAGGGATTTTGATTTTGGTAGCATTGAGTGCCCTGTGAACTCCAGGCCAAGCTTTGATGATCCTCTCGGCGAGAGCTTCGGTGAAGTAAGCTGCAATGCGCTGCATGGTGTCGCCGTCCGGTGCCGATAATTGAGAGATCTGGCCGAGTGCTACCTCGGCGCTCTCCAGGCTGCCTGTTGCTACGTGATTTGCACAAGTGAGCAGCAAATGGATCAAGTATAAACCCCTCTCTTCGGATTTCAGCTCTCTGAGGTATGGATAAGGCGAGCCGAGATTGGAAGGATTTGGCGAGAGTTGCGCCATGGAAAAGAATTGGAGTGGCGATGATGTGGCAGAGGATGATCCATCATCTTGATACATTTTTCAGCAATTGAAAACAAGAACTTTCGAGAGCTCAAGCAAAATGAAACAACTGGATAACGAAACCTAAGCGGAAACTGAATCAAATCAGTTAGAGGAAAGAAAGGTGGAAACTTTGAACTGAAGCTCGCAAAGAAACAGAGACCCAGAAGAGGAAAGACGAAGATCCTTACTGGGTTTTACGATTCGTGGAAAACCCAGGAAGAAAATGGATGAAGATTCGAAGAATTTCCCAGCAATCAGTATCGTACCCACCCAAATCCTTAAAACCCTGGAAATGTTTCCCTTTTTTTTTCTTTCTTCGCAGAGTCCTTTGCCCTCGTCTTGTTTTGTAACTACGGTTTGCTCTCTGATTCGATTTCAGCTGGCTGTGGCTCGAATTAAAAGCTCCTTTCTTTGCACTCTGTACCGCACCAAGAAAGCAGAGAGAGAGAGAGAGGAGCAGAGGTTTGGTTTGGCACGACTTGTTGTTGTTCGTTCATGGTTACCGGTTGTCGCTTTGTCTACAACGTGTAAGGGGCTGCTTTCTTGTCGCTTAGCGACTTGGCTTGTCGTTCTCGTCTCAGCGGGAATGTGGAATTTATGAGAAAGGCGAGCCCTTTTTGGCTTTTTCTTCGTTTCCCTCTCCTCCACCACCATTAAAGCTTTCCATACTTTCTCTCTCTAACGCACCGACGACGACGACGACATTTCCTTTCCCCACCATCCTCGCCATTTTTTGTCTCTTTCCCGTTCTTTCTCTCTCTAGATTCTTGTCCTGACACCGAGCGGATGGAATCATGCTGGCCTAGTGAATGCGAATTAATAAACAAACAAAAGAAGAGAGAGAGAGAGAGGTTGGGCAATTGTTATGAATTCTTTGCCGGTGAAAATGAGATTTGTCCGGAAATGTTGTTATTCCTAAAGGCAAAGAAAAGTCCAAACATGCCATAACAAGGACAAAGTAGCCATTACTACCCGCCAAATTTTGTTTCCTAGTGGGGTTAAGTTTTGGGGTATTGCTTAGGTGGGAAAGAAAAGAAAAGAAAGCCAAGTGGGAAGCCCTCCCCAATAAATGAAACTTTTAGTCTAGAAACCAAAATTTCTAACTATTGATGTTCTAGTGTGTTGATAAATATTGTACACAACTAGTCATGTTGATGGATAGGTCTTAATGTGAGCTCATATCGTTGAGCCTGCACGTTCCACGATTTCGGTCCGTCTGATCGATTGAAACACAGGCGTTATTTAGAAACCTGCATCCATTAGTTGAGATCACGAGACGATACAACCCAATTCCATTAAAGGTCATCCCCACGCATGGTAGCAAAATCAGCTTTAAACTGAAAGGTTGAAAGCATAAAAACACAGAGATCTGGATTACCAACAAACCCCCGACTTTGAATTTTACGGTCAACATTCATATAAAAAAATATATATGAATCGTCGATTTCGAAATGGATAAACTAAACATGGTTAGGACGATCATTTGTCTTGAAATGTTACAAATTGATTTTCATTTCAGATGTATGAATAGATAAATAAAAAAATATCGAAATCATGTATCATGATTTAATAATTATAGATATCCTTCTAGTGTAATTGTATGACCATCAACTTGATCATAGAGTTTAAAACCTTGGAAAATGAGATCAAATTGTTGGAAGTTTGACCAAACATTAGGGACAAATGAGGAAGTACAAGTTAATTACACTACTATTTCTGGGGTGACCCTTAGGATAGGAATAGGATGACTCACGTATACATCTCCCCCACATTCGGACAAGGAGACAAAGAAGTCGAACAAAACTCCAAACTCGAATTTGTACAGTTTAACGATCTCTCTAGTTGTGGGGGGAGTCATATAAAGTTGGCGCCTTGTTTTGAACAAAAGCCAACGAAGTCATGTCAACAGTTCATTCTGAGCTAACCCACTACTATCTTGTAATAGGTGGCAAAAAAAATGGACGTGTACTCGTGTCTCTCTTGCTTCATCCTGAAAAAACCAGGTTAGTTTTGTCTTTCCATCTTTTAGCCTGATCCACGGTTTGAATTCCTCATTGCTGACATCCAGGTTCTAAGAGTGTCATTCAAGATGAGGATTTTACTGTTTAGAATTCATATTTGTGGCGAATTCAAATGTCAAGAACAATCAATGACTAGTGAATAGTAGGTTCAATATGATAGAAGCGTGGTGCTGTAAAAGAGATTGAGAATGGGAATTAGGGATTGAAGAGAAGAAGATTCGGGATTTGGGAGAATTGGGGAAGAACAAGAGAGAGACAAGATTAGGGATTTCTGTTATTCTATTCCATAATCCCAAAATGAGTGTACAGAATCCCTTTTATGAGTTCAAAGGAAAATAATGGAAAATAACAAAATGGTCACTCCCCACCCGGTCCAGCCCAACCTCACCCCTCTACTCTCGGTTTCTATCATCCCCTTCCCCATCAGAAGCGACCTTGTCCTCAAGGTCGAATGTCGGAAACCGCTGCCGAAGGGTTACAGTCTCCTCCCAAGTGGCGTCCTCCCGCTCCATGTGCTGCCACAGGACCAGGCTTTCCTCGATCACGCGTCCGCCCTTCTTGACCCACCTGGTGTCTATCACCTGCAATGGAACCAGCTCGAGATCACCATCGGCCGACACCGGAGGTGCCGTTGTCTCCACTCGATCAGCCGCGCCGCGGTACCTCTTCAAGAGGGACACATGAAAGGTAGGGTGAATGCGCGAATCAGCTGGTAGCTGAAGACGATAGGCCACCGGATTGACCTTCTGCAACACCTCATACGGTCCAAAATACCGTGCCGCCAACTTCTGATATGCCCGCCGGAATACAGAAGCTTGCCTGTAAGGATGCAGACGGAGCAGGACCCAGTCACCCACCTCGAACTCCTCCTCTCGTCGCCCTGCATCAGCCAGTTGCTTCATCTTGTTATTGGCAGCCGCCAGATTAGCCTTGAGCTGATCCAAAGCCTCATCTCGCTCCCCCAACCACCGATCCACTGCATCCACTGGGCTGGAACCCACCTGATATCGTACCAGAGAAGGTGGGGAACGCCCATACAAAGCCTCGAACGGTGTCATCTGGATGGCCCTATGGTACGTGGAGTTATACCAGAGCTCGGCCCATGGTAAATATGCTAGCCACCGTCGGGGCTGCTGATGGGTAAAACAGCGCAAATACTGCTCCAAATAGCGGTTAACCACCTCCGTCTGGCCATCCGTCTGGGGGTGATATGCCGAACTCATCCGCAACTGGGTCCGAGCCAACGTAAAGACCTCCTGCCAAAAACGACTCAAGAAAACGGAGTCCCGGTCGCTGACGATGGACCTCGGGAATCCGTGGTGCCGGACCACCCCTAAGACAAACTGCTCAGCCACTGAGCGCGCAGTATATGGGTGTGCCAGAGCCATGAAATGGGCGTACTTCGTCAGGCGATCCACGACGACGAACAGGACGGTCTTCCCTCCCGATGGTGGTAACCCGACGATAAAATCCATACTGATATCCTCCCACACCCGTTCCGGTACCGGTAACGGCTGCAGTAGACCCGCCGGTCGCAAATGGGATGCCTTGACTCTCTGGCAGGTGTCACAAGATGCAACATAGTCCTTCACATCCCGGCCCATCTGAGGCCAATAGAACTGGGCCCGGATCCTCCTCAGCGTCCGCTCCACCCCTGAATGCCCCCCAAACGGAGAGTCATGGAACTCCTGCAACACTGTCGTCACTAGGGACGACCCCCGGGGAAGCACCACCCGCCCTCGGAAGAACACCAACCCCTGCCGACAAGAGTAATGGCCGGGATCGGCGCTAACCGCTATCTCACGGCATCCCTGCAGATACCCGTCCGTCTCCATAAGAGCTCGCAGAATGTCCCAGAACTGAGGTACTGGTCCTGTAACTGCCGCCAAAATCTCACCTCCGGGGCGCCTCGATAGGCCATCCGCCACGACATTAGATGGTCCGGGGCGGTAGTGGATCTCGTAATCATACCCCAGGAGCTTGGATACCCACTTGTGCTGATCGGGAGTGGAAACTCGCTGCTCCAAGAGATTCCTCAGACTCTGATGATCTGTGTAAATGTGGAACTTTTGCCCCAGAAGATAGGGTCTCCACATCTGAACTGCCGTAATGATAGCCTGCATCTCTTTCTGGTAGGTGGACCAAGCCTCCTTAGACGGCGCCAGAGTCTTACTCATGAAGGCTACCGGGTGCTTATCCTGTGATAACACTGCGCCAATGCCCCGGCCCGATGCGTCTGCCTCAATAACAAAGGGCCGAGAGAAGTCAGGCATAACCAGAGTAGGGGTGGTGGTCATGGCCTGCTTCAGCTGGCAGAATGCTGCATCGGCCTCTGCAGTCCAAACGAACCCGCCTTTCTTCAACAGATTAGTCAAGGGCCGAGCAATCATGCTGTAGCCCTGTACAAACTTCCGGTAATATCCTGTCAAGCCCAGGAATCCCCGCAATTCAGTGACAGTGGTCGGGGTTGGCCACTCCACCATGGCTTGGATCTTCTTCTGGTCCACCTGTACTCCCTGAGGCGTGACAATGTGCCCCAGATACTCCACCTTCTGAACCCCAAAGGCACATTTCGAAGCCTTGAGGTAATACTGGTGCTGCTGCAAAATCTCAAACACGGCCTGCAAATGCTGCAAGTGGGCCTCCCATGTCGGACTGTAAATAAGAATGTCATCAAAAAAAACCAGAACGTACCGACGAAGCAGGGGTCGGAAGATGTCGTTCATAGCTGCCTGAAAGGTCGAAGGGGCATTGCACAACCCAAACGGCATTACCAGGTACTCATAATGGCCGTTATGGGTCCGGAAGGCTGTCTTGTGTGCATCCTCCTCCCTCATCCGGATCTGGTGATAGCCGGCCCTCAGGTCGAGCTTAGTGAAATAAGAGGACCCGTGCAGCTCATCAAGCATGTCATCCACCGTCGGAATCGGGAAACGATCCTTCACTGTCGCGGCATTGAGGGCCCGGTAGTCAGTGCAGAACCGCCAGGTCCCGTCCTTTTTCTTGACCAGAAGCACCGGTGAAGAAAAAGGGCTAGTGCTGGGCCTGATCAACCCGGTAGTCAGCATCTCAGCCACCTGACGCTCAATCTCCTCCTTCTGCGAATGACCGTACCTGTAGGGTCGGACATTAACAGCTTCCACCCCATCCTTCAGCTGAATGCCGTGGTCCACCTGGCGATGTGGCGGAAGAGTAGTCGGCTCCTGAAAGATCACGGCGAACCTGTCAAGGACTAGCTGCAGATCAGGGGTCAATTCCTGGACCTCCCCAGACTCCATCGGCCAGCACAGCACGGCGAAGTCCGCCTCTCCCATCTCGGTGCTATCATGGATGGAAATGGGCCCCAAGGCAGTGGTAAGCCCCTGTAAGCTCCACTCCTTATCCCTCCACTTAAACCGCATGGTCAAGCCTTTCCAATCGGTGGTAGTCGGTCCTAAACTCTGCAGCCAAGGAATGCCCAGAATAATATCAAATCCCCTGATGGGTAGCACAAAGAAATCGGCTGTTACCGGCAAGCCTTGAATCTCCAAAGCAAGCCCTCGATAAACCGTGGTACACTGCATAGGCGCCCCATTCGCAACCCGAATCACCATCTTCTCCACTGTACTCGGCGCCATGGATAGTGTCCTGGCAAGCTCGGCACTAATGAAGTTGAGCGAGGCGCCGCTATCCACCAACGTCAGCGCGGTCACCCCTCCCACTCGAGCCTGGAATCGCAGCGTGCCCGGCGTAGGCAGCCCGGTCGCCGAGTGGAGAGAGAGAGCAGCGACGCCGCCAACCCCGCCTGACGTCGCACCCCTCCCCTGCGCTGCCACGGTGCTCGCGCCGCCCCTGGCGGCAGACTCGCCGCGGCGCCCACCAGCCGCCTCCGCGCGACGCGCGCCGCCCGCCACCTCCGCGCGCCCGCCACCAGACACCGCGGGCTCGTGCTCCGCGCGCCCGCCTGACGTCGCACCCCTCCCCGGGAAGTCGTCGACCGCCGCGCCTGGCGCGGCCACCATGGCCGCCGCCGCTGCCGTCCACCCCGGTTCCTGCGCCTCTCGCCTGAGCTCAGAGAGCGTGAACTCGATCAGTTGTCGTGTACGAGCCCATGTTGGATCAGTGAGTTTCGAGGGACTCATGTTGGCTCTGATACCAAATGATAGAAGCGTGGTGCTGTAAAAGAGATTGAGAATGGGAATTAGGGATTGAAGAGAAGAAGATTAGGGATTTGGGAGAATTGGGGAAGAACAAGAGAGAGACAAGATTAGGGATTTCTGTTATTCTATTCCATAATCCCAAAATGAGTGTACAGAATCCCTTTTATGAGTTCAAAGGAAAATAATGGAAAATAACAAAATGGTCACTCCCCACCCGGTCCAGCCCAACCTCACCCCTCTACTCTCGGTTTCTATCACAATATAAACATGCAAGGCTTTGAAATTCATCAAGACGTCTGGATGAGGTTAAATCGATGATTATGATCAATTGTGAATCCGGTTCGAGTAAGTGTCCAACTATGAGGGTGCCTGACAAGATCTAGGAGAGAGGCATGGCCAGTGTTTGGGTAAGGAAGAGGATACTGGTCCGGCAGAGGTAGGGTGTAGGTCATGGTTGAGGTTACGAGTTCTTTTTTTTTTAACATACAAACCATTCATTTCACTCTAAAGAGGATGAGAGATTACAATAAATCAGATAGGATGTCGAGCATCATAATCCAGTCGTAGGAGAGTAGGTTGTGCTAGCATTATAAGCTTCTTTGTTATTTTCATGACTTGTGAATTAAACTTGAATTCACACCGATTTTTGAAGGATAGTGACAATCCAAGAAATGATGGGATAACATAGTTGCGATCAAAGATCAAGGTTATTCAAAACAAAGTCTCGAGGGTCATGCAATGAGTCTCAAAGTCACATCGTATGGGTCATGCAATGAGTTTACAAAAGAACATTAATCTGTTGTGTTGCTTTTAAAAGTATAGTCATCTTGATCATACGATTCACTTAGGACTAATACGATTTTCATCTTAGTGGCTTTGGTCAATATTTTGTCACCTCTAATAGATAAATCTCACACAAAACCGACATTTGTAAGTGACAATCACCACTAAGGTAACTTGTCAAATTAATGTACATACATGGTTGAGTGACAATGAGACCATAGATGAGTACTTTGGATGAAAATAAATCACTGCTCTTGCAAGGATACAAAATGTTCAAAAGCCTAAAAGACACGTCAACCAAAGAAGACAAACACTGCACAGAGAAAATGCTGGGAATCAACACAGCAACAAACACTAGCCTGCAAAATTCCACTCAGCCTCTTGTGCCAACATGATGGACCACGGCAACTACAAGACCAAGACACTTGACTAAAACCAGCATAAAGATCTCCAGTCTATCTCCAACTTTAGGGCATTCAAATGGCAACCAAATGCTATGTTTGGTTGAAGCCAAAAGGAAATAAAGAGGAAGGACGAAGAGAATGAAAGGAACGGTTTCCAGCTTACGTGATCTTTCCTCCGTTGGCTCTCCCCATTTCCCTCAAGTAGCCTTCCAAAACATACAATGCAACAGCCATTTCGATTTGGCTGACCAGTGAAGTTCAACTTGGTTAAAGACTAAATGGGGCGAGTCTGTCTTATGATCCTTGTTCCGCATCGCCTAAGAGGTTCAGAGATTAATTCATTCCAGCTGTTGGAATGATACACAGAAAAATGTTAATATGTATGAAAATGGTGCATTCCAAAACCAGTTTCAAGAATGATTACGTAAACAACATAACCTTTTTCACAAGCTTAGTAGCGTCGTTTTACTGAATTGGAAGAAGCTAACCTTTGCTTGAGTGTTCTCTGAGACGAGCAAGGGCCACTGCGATCTTAGACCCAACAAGAGCATTGTTCTTCACCAGAGCAATGTCTTATCACTTGGCTAAGGAAGTTAAGTGATAAATAACCTACATATCCTGTTAAACCACTAGAATGATAATATACAAAACCTGGAACCTTCAATTGAAAGAAGTAAAAAAAGAAAAGATAGTTGCAGCCTCCGTTGTCAATGTTAAAGGTTAAAAAAGACTTCAGACATCATATTTGTGCAATTCAAAGGATACTTGAAGCCAAGGAGGCTCCTCCCGTTAGTTCATTCACTCTTGCTAGCAAGAAAGGAGTTTCGGCACTGCCAATTATATTCTTCTCCCTGTCATCCATTTGATCTATGTATTATAAGGTACTAAACTTTTCTGGGTAACAGTCAAAATTTATAAGCACAGGAACTGATTACCCTACCTAGCTTCTTTAAGAGCTTTTTGGATTGCAGATTCAATTTTACTTCCAGAAGCCGATTGTTCCTTTGGAATTGGGACTGCTATTAGGACCCCATTCCCAAGCTTAAGTTTTGTTGTGGCATCTGGAATTAATAGAAAGAAAATGAAAAACCCAGTTTTTAAATTCGCATCCATATGTGGAAACAGAAAAGTTGGAAAGAACTGACTTCATCACTTGCCTATCAGCCGGGCACATTCCTCTGGTGTGTCCAAACGGCATGGAGCCTAGTCAAGCATTAAACAGTTAGATGCTCAATTAGTTATGACTCGTGAACAGTTCAAAAGGAGGTTCTTTTTGGAGATAAAGCTCAGTGTGTTTTCTAATGGCTTTCAGCAGTCAGCACCAGAACCAATCAAAATATCGGTACATACATAAATTAGATCATAGAGCAAGAACCTGCAATTACCAAACACTGAAACAGGCATTCCTTATACATTGATGCAGCAAAAGAAGTGCTGAAACTAAGATTATAGCTTGTCTTTACCTTACAGCCGCTTGTATCAGTGAAAAATGCAGGGAATTCATCGGTCTTGTAACCAACAACACATACTCCTTGTGTTTCCTGCACTAGTACAAAATGGAGGAGGGAAGATGATTTTAGTCATTAGAGACGGAATTACTAGGAAAAACTTAACAGTGATAAAACAAGTGAATTTTACCAAATATTCAAGGGTTTTTGGAATATCCAATATTGATTTCACTCCGGCAGAGATAACTGCTACTGGAGTTTTCCCCAGCTCAGTGAGATCGGACGATACATCCATCGCTGCCAAGAAGAAAGCAGAAACTTATAATGAGACAGTTCAAGTACATGTATGGTAAGTAGGAATGTAGGATGCAATAGTGTTTTTATTTCTGAGGGTTGAAGGAATAAATGGCTTTCTGTCTAAGAGGAAATATTATAATTACTCTAGTTGACAATGATATAGTTGCAAGAAAGAACTAGAATTTTGGTCGAGAATAGACTCAGTAAAGATGGATGCATAACAAGCCCTGAATACTTACTTTCCTCCCCATGCCTATGCACTCCTCCGATGCCTCCAGTTACAAACACAGGAATACCAACCTGCAGAAGTTTGGCCATGAAACTGGGAACGTTAGAAAGTTTAGTGCAAGCTACTGGTAATCAAGTAATGATCATTACTGACCATAGAAGCAAAAAACATGGTTGCTGAAACAGTTGTGGCGCCATTTCGTCTACCGGCCACCTGAAAAGAGCATAAGCAAGCAGATAATGCCAAATCTCGAGCACAACCACCAAATGAAACAGAAAAATAAAATACCAAACAAACATATCTCGATCATACCACCAAGAGATTAAGTCACTGAATGGTCAACTAGTAACTGTGCTAACACTAACGTAAACTACTGCCATTGATGTCAAATAGCGAGAAAGTACAACTTAATTGCACATACAAATGGGAACAACATAAGATAAGAAGTAAAGTTCTCTGAAGGAGCAGCATGGCCAATATGATAAAGTTACTCACAACGTATGCAATGTCCCTCCGAGCTGTTTTCTGAGCTCTGGTTCCAAGAGTGGCAAGTCGCTCCAGCTGTTCGGCACTTAAACCTGATCGCCTCGAAGATCTTAGTCAAATGAGCAATATATAAACATAACCAGAGGGCAGTTGTCTAAGGACTTTCGTAACTGCAGGTAAAGTATACATAATTATACCACCCTACATATGTCAGCAGAACAAGTTTAGCTCTATATCACACCTACACAAGGAACCCCATCTAAGATTGCGATAGTAGCAGGAACAGCTCCATTCTTCCTTACAATTTCTTCCACTTGCTTGGCTGTATCCAAATTTTGAGGGTATGGCATCCCTGAAGAACAAATAAGCACAGATCAAAACAAACACAGTTACCATTGTGTAAACTAGAAGCAACAACTGGAGATAGGAATTCCCTTGTCTATGCACAAAGGAACCCTCTTTCCTGAAACAGGGGAATCAGCAAAGGGTGAAAGAGGCAGGGGAGTAGTACCATGAGAAATGATGGTGGATTCCAAAGCAACAACAGCACGCCCACTAGACAAAGCCTGATAGACTTCTGGAGAAAATTTCACCAGACCTTCTATCTAAAACGGGAAAATACAGCAAAAACCCACCAAACGGGTGAGAAAATCAAATGGGCTCGCAGACATCAGACTTGCTAGTTGCTAGCAAACGTAGACGAAAAGGGAGAAATGTTTAAAGAGACGATCTTGCCTGATTGTTGGAATCCAAAGGACGAAGGTGGTTATGGAGATTGGATAGTCTAGACAGTGCTGAAGAAGAAGCCATGGATGCAATTGGGCGGAAACTCCAGAGGCGTAAAGTTAGCAGTGCTGAAGAAGATTCCTGAAATGATATTGACCGGCGGCAGCAAATACTTATGGACTTGGGGCTTGGAAGTTGGAACTGGGAGGGGAGAAATACCTTGGCTTGCTATTAAACTTTGCGAATTGGGTACCGGGAAGGCTTTCCAAGTTCAGTCAATCTCCTCTACGCATAGCGAGAGTAAAAATAGTGCCTAAAGCCCTAAACTAGACATTGTTTTTTGGTTTGTCAATTTTTTTTCGTCGGTAATAAAAAAAAATTATTAGTCATTCGTTTTATTAATTTCCATTTCATAGTGTTTGTGCCTGGAATGTCCCAGGCGGTTATATGATACTCCACAACCTCTGGCGGCTTGATAGATGGGAGGCGGTCTCCAAGGGGACTAGATACTATAACAATACTCCTTGTGTTGTTATTGTAACAACACTAGTCTCCAACCAATAGGAAGCTAGGATTGTGATGACTTTTTATTAGATGAGTTGACCTAGTGTAAAATCAAAGCAGGGGTATAATTGTCATTATGAAAAATATGTTTAAATAATAATAAAAAAATATTTTTCGGCCCAAAATTTTGGTCGCCGGAATTCAGCCATCGGTCGCCGGAATCTGGTCGCCGGTCACCGGAATATGCTTTTTTGTCGCCGGAATATGCTATTTTGTCATCGGAATATGCCACCGTCGCCGGAATATGCTCACCGTGGTCGGAATATGCTTACCGGCGTCGGAATCTAGTCATCGGGGCCGGAATATGCCTATCGGCGCCGGAACCCGGTCACTGACTGTCATCGGAGTTTGGTCAACGGCCAACGACCACCGGATGTTATGGTCTGCATTGTGAGATTTATGGTTTGATTTCTCATATTTTTGTAAGCCTTTTATGGTTTGCTTTATCGTGTTTGTGGTTTGCATTAAGAAGTTTCTAGTTTGCTTTATCGTGTTTGTGGTTTGCATTGAGAAGTTTCTGGTTTGTTTTCAAAAAATTGGTGGTTTGCATTGTGAGGTTTCTGGTTTGTTTTAATATATTTGTGGTTTGCATTGGGACGTTTATGGATTGCTTTTTTGTGGTTTGATTTACTGTGTTTGTGGTTTGCATTAGGAGGTTTCTTGTGTGCTTTCGCAAATGTTGTGGTTTGTTTTGTGAGGTTTGTGGTATGTTTTAGTGGATTTGTGGTATGCATTATGGTGTTTCTGGTTTGCATTAAGAAGTTTATGGTGTGCTTTCGAAAATTTTATGGTTTGATTTGTGGGGTTTATGGTTTGTTTTAATATATTTTTGGTCTGCATTAGGAGGTTTGTGGTTTGCTTTATCGTGTTTGTGGTTTGCATTATGAGGTTTCCGGTGTACTTTCGGAATATTTGTGGTATGCTTTGTGGGGTTTTTGGTTTGTTTTAGCAATGTGTTGTACAAAATTCTGTGGTTTGGTTTGTGAGGTTTCTGGTTTGTTTTAATAGATTTGTGTTCCGCATTAGGAAGAATCTGGTTGTTTTATGTGGTTTGCTTTGTCGTGTTTGTGGTTTGCATTATGTAGTTTTTGGTGTGCTTTTGAAAATTTTATGGTTTGCTTTGTGGTGTTTCTGGTATGTTTTAGGAGACTTGTAGTTTACAATAAGAGGCTTCTGGTATATGAGAAATATAAGAATGTATACCAAAAATACAATAATACATACCGATAATTCCTTAATAAATACTATAAAAGGTTGAATGAAATGCATTCAATATTAGAAAAAGTGGATATAAAACAATACAATTGTATACTGAAACTCCTAAAATATCAAAAAAGAAATATGAAAATGAATACCATTATTAAAAAGAAAAACCACATAAGTTACATGGCATATGTGTAAACAAATGGCGGATCAGATCAACAACTTCTTGATTAGACACCTGGGAATTGGAAAGGAGCAAAATCTAATCAGTTTTCCCCAATCAATACAAACTCCTCAACAGGAATTATGAACAAAGTGAGAATCAATCTCTTACCTTATCCCACAACCCATCGGAGGCCACTCGCAATCAGATTCAATCATCACAACTCTGGTCTTCGGCTCGGCAACCACGAACTCCTTGAGATGCCCGTCGCCGATCCCTCTCGTCACGGCGAGAGATTCCTGAATCCCCCAAACACCCCTGGAGCAATCCACGTAACCGCCAATGCCTCCACTCGCTCCTTCTAGTCCGGGCGAGAAGCTTGATGGTCGGACGTGAGCGCCTCTGCCACTCCTCCCCTGCTCATCTCGACGCGGCAGTCGCCGGCGTTCGACACCACGAGGTTGCCGTCGTTGATCAACGCTGTTATACAGCACGCTCTGCCGTGAGCGTTTTCGTTGAGGAAATCAGCGTCAGTTTTCAAATACGCCTTCCTGATCGCCTCTTCGAATCCGTCAACGTCAGATCTAGACGACGACGAAGACGATACTTCGGCGGTGATGTTTCCCCCAAATTCTTCGAAGCGAATTCAGCTGCTCTCGCGCCGCCGTGTCCGTCGAAGACTCCGAACATAGCATGCATCAATTGAGAAGCGGAATTGAGTTTTTGACCTAATTATTTTTTCTTCTTCTTCTTTTAACCGCACCAAAGAGTGGCGGTGGCGGCTGCCATTTCGTCGCTCAATAATAAAGAGGCCTCTCGATTTCACGGGAAGCAACTGCGAGAAGAGATCGAGAGACGGAGAGAGAGGGGAAGGCTGGGGATTGAATATTTATTTTTTTTAATTTTAATTTGTTATTTTGTGTTAGTTTACCCTTTTACCCTTAATGAATCTTGTTGTTACTATAACAATACTATGAGTGTTGTTATACTATCCGCTCCCGTCTCCAAGACCTGCACGAAAGGTCCTCAGGGATTACCTGGGACCTCCTCCGAAGCTTAAGTTAGAGAGAGAAGTGAATGAGGAGATGTAAAATAGAGAGAGAATTAGGTTGGTCGAAGTTACCATAAATGCTGCCCCTTTGGGGCTATTTATACTAGCCTAGCCTCGGAATCAGGACATTTAATGTTGTGTCGGGCGGTCTGGGACGCCTTTGACTTTATTAAATGTTGTGTCAGTACGAATGTCTGGCTTTCTCTGACAGCAGGGTTTTAGCCCTTCTGTCGGGCGGTTTCCTGACGTATGGCTGACGTAAATGTCGAGCGGTCTCCATGGTGGGTATGGTTAGCCTCACCTTGTCTTGGCCTGCTTTCGTGGGCTTTTGTAACCATGGGCCTCAGGCCCACGTATGCCAATACTAGGCCCAACAGTTAGTGATTGATGATGGTTCAATTTGATTAGATTTGTTATACTTGACGATTAATTATGAATTTTGATTGTTAAGTAGATGATGTTGTAAATAGATGATGTTATTTAATTTTCGCCTCATCACCACCTTAGTTTTGCCCTCAGTGACTCTTTCCTATCCACCGAGGCATCACCACAACAATCGACCCTATCAGCAAAACTCATGTTGTCATTAACCGGATCGAAATATCGATTCGACTAGAAATAATCGCACCAGAGCACATATTCGGACTCGAAAGCCTTGATAGTTGAAACATACCATTAATTGGTTGCCTGGGTCACAGCCAAAACTATCGATTTTTATCTCTTTTCTTTAATAGTTCATGGGGAAAAAATGAAATACCTTTTCGGTGGGTTAACCTCGGATCCCACAAATATGTGTTAGTTAAATTAACCAAATAAATTACATTGATTTGTTGTTATTTTTCTTTTTTATATTACTGTCATTTTCACATTTCATTATTTTAATAAGAGTTCAATAACTAAAAATTTATTTATATTCATAAAAAAAACTTCTTCAAATAAGAATAATGTGAATATTAAATTGTATGTGATTGAGAATTCGAGATTATGAATATTGATTGGGCTCTTGATTCTTGACAATATAGATAGAGTTTTTATACTATTATTAATTTTTAGAATATCGTGAATCCGTAATTTATTTTTTTACAAATTGTAAGTAACCTGTTTTCTAAATATTTATGTATATACAGAATCTTGAACCTCTTGCTAATTCGGGTGGATGTCCATCTGGTTTTGAAAACATTGACAAAAAGTCACCCCCAAGCCTAAAATCTCAAAATCGAGTACGAGAGTCTCACGGACAAAGGATGGGGATCGGACTATGATCGTGGTACTAGCTGTGCAGGGACCGTGGACGTAGAGTGCTACAGGTTCAAATACGCACAAAACGATGGCCAGCATTGTGAAGGGTAGAGCTCTTTGAGCATGATGTGATCATAACCACAAGTCTGAAGTCTAAGTTATGTAACTTGGTATGTGTTAACAAGTTGAAACATTGTAGCAAGCAGTATACATGAATAAACAAAGAGTGTAATGAGTTTCTTTTGCTTTTGTAGAAAGAAAGGGTTTCTTAGTCGGTTAACCATCAAAGCTCAAGAAGAACCTAACGAAATTGGACGGCCAGTGAGCTTTGACCGTTACGATTCTTACTCGGTTTTGTTATCCTGATACATTAGTCACCAACATCATCTCTGGTATGGCTTCACAATCCATTGCTTCTATTCAAAGTTACCAGTCTTTGAATGGTAGCCCTCTAAGTTCAAAGAAAAAGTGAAAAGGAAGAATGGTAGCTTTGAGTATCTGCGGTTGCAGTGCCTGAAGAAGATAGTACTCTGTAGGATGGAAGCCAATTCATTCTCTGAACATTAAACTTGCTGATAATCATACACTTGACTTCTAAGCCTAGATTTAGAACAAGGGTTGCTGACAACAGTTACAGCTGTCCTCATTTCCCAATCCCTAGCTTACATCAGATCAGCACATTCCCCTCTTTCTACAAAAAGGATCAGGTTCTAGGACACTAGCAGGATCACAATATCAACTGTTGCTGAGCAAGGTATCAGAACCTTCACATAGCATTCACCATTGGTACGAATTCTGAGCTTTTATTGAGGAAAAAAAGTGTTTTAGAGTCTAGCTAGAAGTTACCTTGTGTGCTCCCTGAGTTGGGGGGGAGTTCTCTTTGCAGGCAAACTTCTCTCTATCCTCAATCCCAGGGTATGCATTACTTCAACAGCTTTCAAGGCGAATCTTTGCGAAGACAGACCAACCCTCAGTTCAAACTTCAAAGTGAATAGATAGCAATACCCAGCTCACACTTGCAACAAAAGATTTCGACAGTAAAACGAGGAATGCTCAATTCAACAGTAGATCATGCTGCCACTATGCCAATCGTTCCTCGTTAAAACATTTCAGAAAGTGAAGAACTTGAATTCGAAATTATGCATTACTGTATGTCAGCTTCTTCGTCATGCTGCCAGATTAGAGCTCGCAAAGGTTCCAGCGACAAGATGTTAACGACGACTAAGAAACATTCAGAAGATTTCAGGATCAAAGAAACCTATATGGATCCAGCTTCAGTAACTGCTGGCCGGCCAATAAGAACAAGTAAATAGAAGCATTCTGTTCAATACAGCTTGATTTCCATCTGAAAGCAAACATCACCGGCGGAAACCAGAGTATATATATTCAACCGAGTAAAGCACAGCCGAACTGGCCATCCGACTCAACAATCTTGTCAGATTTGATGACTACATCCAGAGGCAGAGGGCTGAAACTTCGAGCCGGGCCGTAGAAATGTGGGAAGCTGTTGATTCCATCGATGGACTCATAGACCAACCCATCCCCAAGCTGACAAGAAATCAAGAACACCACCATCAGGCAAACCCTGCCATAAGTAAAACCCCAACTGCCCATGAAAAATTTAGTATGATACTACAATCAGGGGGAAAAAAGTTCAAACCTTTCCAGCATCAATTTGGAGAAGCAGCAGATCCAACTTGGTGTTTCGGAAGAAATTGTTCAGTGTCGATAGAACCTGCAGATGGTTATGGATTTGAAGTTACGGATGTGGGTAAGGAGAGGAAGAACAAAAGGGTAGAAAAGGGAAGAAATTGAATGTGGGTTTTTACCTGATTGTGGTCGCTGAGGTGGATGAATCCGGAGGATTTGTCGAGCTCTCCGCCATGAGTGAACCCGTCCTTCTGCAGATCTTCCCATTCGGTAGCTGTACAAATCCGGTACACGAACTTCTCTCCGCCACCGCCGGCGCCGCCGCTTGCTTCCATTTTGGTAGAGAGGAGAGACGATCCACAGGTAGGAAAATAATCGCTTTCAACAAAGCGGATTGCCGAATTGGGTGAGCGAGGCGCTATAAAGCATAAACTGTACGAATATAAGAAATGTATTTTAAATAAATAAAAAATAAGCCGGAATGAAAAATGCGGATTTGTACTCCAGAATTTATTTCGCCGGGAAATTTAACCACCACTATTTTTCATTTTGTCTTTTCCTTGTTTAGCAGTTCGACCCTTTTCTCTGGTTATCATTTGTCTTCCCCTTGTTTATCAGTCCGTACTCAACCGCTTCATCTTCAGGGGAGTGGCATCCATGGCTACCAAAATCTCCTTCACTCCAACCCACAACTTCCCTCCGAGACTTGGAAATTTCGCGAAGTACCCACAAACCATTCCTCTCTATCCACTTCAGCCGCTGAATGTTTCTCACGGAAACTGCCATCTCAAAGCAGGTTCAGGCTCAGCTGCAGCAGCGAAAGTTCAAGCTTTGAAGGAAGACTTGATCGAGTCGTTGAATTCGGACACTTCTGCTGATTCCGCGACTGCATCTCCTTCTTCCTCGAAACTTGTCCTCGTTGTTGGCGGCTCCGGCGGTGTTGGTATAACCTCTTTCTTCACATTCTTTTATATAGCCATGAATCTATTATGTTTGCCCTTTGGCTACTGCAACAATTATGTAATGTTTCAACTGGCCTTGTTATCTGTTCTGCCTATGTAGAGTTTGGTCGATATTGACAGGCAGACCTTATTTCCATGGATTTCAGGGCAGCTGGTTGTGGCATCACTGCTTACCCGGGGAATCAAATCGCGGCTGTTTCTGCGTGATCCTGAGAGGGCAACTGCACTCTTTGGGGTTCAAGATAATGAGAAATTGGAGGTACCCTAGTTTGATTTCAGAATAATGCAACATCATGGTCTAGTGACTGCTGACATTTTCCTTTGTGAATGTGATGATAAATAGTGGTGGAATGTTGTGTGCTTAGGTACTTAAGGCGGACACTAGGAATTCTGCGGATCTCGATCCATCCATGTTCGAGGTTTGCACTTGTTTGGGGAGAATTGGAAAAGGGAAGTAGCTTTTTTGATAGTGTGGTTGCTCATAGTGCATAAATGTTTACTGAAGGGAGTCACACATGTGATCTGTACCACGGGGACGACAGCTTTTCCTTCGAGGCGATGGGATGGAGATAATACACCAGAAAGAGTGGGTTAGGCCACATTTCCAAGATTGTTTGTTAATCAGCACAAGAATCTCCCCTTAAAAACCTTCTGTTAACCTAATCTTGATGTTTGAAAGCTTTGCTTTTAACATGAACGACGTAGAATGAATCATCATGAGCCATCTACCTTCATTGGCCAACTTCCTTTCACCTTAGTTCATGCAACCATTTAATTGTTTTCTTGCTCTTGTTTTTTCTTCTCTTTTTGGTGTAAAGATTGGGAAGGTGTAAGGAATCTCGTTTCTGCTCTACCCCCATCAGTGAAGAGGCTTGTTCTTGTTTCATCAGTTGGTGTAACCAAGTTCAACGAGCTACCTTGGAGGTATGATTTAGCATGCTAGAAATATAGAGTGCCTGCTGCCTAATGTTGGTTCAGTAAAGCATCTAGACCAGACTGCTGCGCAAGAACACGTCACATTCCTTATCCCTATTTTTTTTCTTCTTCTTTTGTGTGTTTTTGTTGGTAGCATTATGAATCTTTTTGGTGTGCTCAAGTACAAGAAGATGGGGGAGGACTTTGTTCGCCAATCTGGACTTCCATTTACCATAATCAGGTAGCCATTATTTAGCTTCTCCTGATCACCCCACATTTTTGGAAGTTCTCTTCAAGGACCTGTGCTTTATGATTAGAATACATGTGTTTATATCATTCTAGACCGGGGAGATTAACAGATGGGCCATACACGTCATACGATTTGAACACTCTCCTGAAAGCTACTGCTGGTGAGCGACGTGCAGTTATCATTGGCCAAGGTAAGCATCTAAAGACCGATCAATGCATACAAAGTTGCAACCTAAACCATGGGGATGACATATGCTTGATTGATGGTTTGGTGATCAGGAGATAAACTCGTTGGAGAAGCAAGCAGACTTGTGGTGGCTGAAGCTTGCATTCAGGCATTGGACATCGACTTTACTGAAGGCAATGCCTACGAGATCAGCTCAGTTGTGGTGAGCTTACTAGACAAGACAATTTGAATCAGTGAAAAGTCCTGTGATTCTTCTATTGTACTGATGATGCTAGAGCGTCTGGTTTTGTGCAGGGAGAAGGTCCAGGAAGTGATCCACAGAAATGGAGGGATTTGTTCGAAGCTGCCCAAAACCAGTGAATTCTATTCCTCCACCGACATTACATGTGTGTATAGGTACTAAATACCCTGCAAGTTTTCTGCTGTAAGTAATGTTTCTCTTTTGTTGTTCTTTCTGGTGCCCCTGAACTCAAAATCATATCCAGAAGCTGATCCCATTTAAGTCAAAAGAACGAGGATTGATCGGGAGTTGAAACACCTCGATAACGTGAAGATTCGTGCACCAAATCCCTCGATGTATTTGCACCAAATCATCTGTTTGGATAATCTAAAGTGACAACAGAATAACAGATGTGTGAACTCTATATACCTCGAGATTTCATCTGTATATATTAACGATTCAGCATCCAAACAAGCCTCGACATTTCATTCCCCATAGAACAGCAAATTATTGCTTTACAGACATTTTTAAACACTAACAATAATAGTAAGAAGAACGGCAGAAAGTAATCAGTAAAGTCCCCTCCACCCTCCTCCTAACTTTGACAAACTATGCCTGTAAATTTGCCTCCTTTTCTCCCATTTCCTTTGCCTCCTTTTCTCCCATTTCCTTCTCCGGCGGCTGGCGGGTACCTACAATCCTCTTCCAGAACCAATGATTCTCAAACAGGAGGTAAACCTCCTCAATCGGAACCCTCTTCGTCTCCGGCAGCAGCAGCACAATGAACACCGTCATCACCAAGATGAGCCCAGCAAACAGCAAGAAGATCCCGTACCGGAGATGGCAGAGCGCCACCAGAAAGCACTGAGCAATCAGCGCAGTGAAGATCATGTTCACACAGACCACCACGCTCTGCCCGGCCGATCTCGTCTCCAATGGAAACAGCTCGCTCGGCACGAGCCACCCGAGCGGCCCCCACGACCGCCCGAACGCCGTCACGAACAGGCAGATCACGATGACCAGCATTACCGAGTAACCTTTCGTGAGAGCCACGCCATCTCCAAACTTGTACCCCAAGGTAACTCCCACCATGACCATGTAGCAGAACATCTCGATCCCGGCCTCGATGAAGAGGAACCTCCTCCCGAGCTTGTCCACCACCGCCATCGACATGAGCGCTCCGACGACCAGCCCCGCGTTGGTAATGAGCGAGGACAGGATCGAGGAACCGGACCCGAACCCCATTGTCTGGAAGAAGACAGGGGCGTAAAACAGGATCGAGTTGTTCCCCGTGAGCTGCTGGAACATTGGGATCCCGATCGCTCCGATCACGAGCTGCGGCCGGTTCTTCCTCTTCAGGAGGTTGCGGAATGGGTTCTTCACCGATCGAGCTTCCTCGCTCGCTTCCTTCATGTCGAGAAACTCCGCCTCGATGTTCTTGGTGCCTCGCACTCGCTCCAGTACCTCTCTGGCTTCCTTCTCCCTCCCCTGCTCCACAAGACTGTTTGGGGACTCCGGCATGAACACCCCGCCGATGAACATCAGCACCGCCGGCACGGCGGCGGATCCCAGAGAGATCCGCCATCCCCATGGGTGGATCTTCTCCGTTCCGTAGTTGATCAGATTTGCAATCAGGATTCCGAGGCAGGTCGTCAGCTGGAACAGTTGGTTCACCGCTCCCCTGATTTTCGCCGGCGCCATTTCCGATAAATACAGCGGCACCGCCTGTTGTTTTGGGCGAAATCGTGAGTTTCCCTTTCCAATTGAATTTAAATTAGATTCTAAATTTGGGGGGTTTTTTGTGATTACCTGGTTGCTGAATCCGATCCCGACGCCGAGGAGGACGCGGCCGATGATGAGCATGAGGATGTTGACGGCGGCGGCGTTAATGACGGCGCCGAGGAAGAAGCTGATTGATCCGCAGATGATGCTGATTCGTCTGCCCTTCTTTCTGGTGACGACGGAGGCGCCGAAAGTGGAGACGAGGGCGGCGAAGTAGAGAGAGGAAGTGAAAAGGGTCAGGATCTGGTTGTCGTATTTACAGTAATCGGTCTCGTGAAGATGGGCTTGCTTTCTCCTGTAAACCGCCGGGAAGAATTCCTTCAGGAAGTCGTCCATGGAAGTCACCCCACCTGCCCAAAACCAAAAAAAAAGGCAGCCCATTAGTTTCTTGTAACTCCATTGTTAAGAGTGAGAGCAGTTTTTCTAAATAAACGCACCGGAAACGCCGAGATCGACGCCGAAGAGAGAGCCGCCGATGGCCCCGACGACGCAGGCGAAGATGAAGTAGCCGGTGATGTTGTACTCGTAGAGATGGGCGCGTTTCAGGACGCCATTGTTGGCCGCAGGTCCTCCCCCCGCCATTTCTCAGCAGATTTCTTTGATATTATGATTTCCTCCGTTTTCACTTCCGCTCCGCCGGGAAATGTTTGAAGAGACGACTGTGGTGCTTGCCTCTCACCGTAGCTGGCCTTTTTAAGACGAGTCAACGGCTACAGCGCTGTTTTAGTTGAATATAAAATCTGCAGAATCAAATGGGATTTACTTTTTTTTTTTTTTTTAATATCCTTGAAGAAGAGAAAAAAGTATTGTATTAAGGAGGAAAAAGGTTTACAAATTTTGTACTTATTCTCTGGTTCTAAATTAATTTAGAAATAAACGTACCTGTGAGTCAAACGTTGAGGTTTGTTCCCGTCACGAACAGAGAAAAAAAAACGTCGAAGACTTCAATGTAGGAAGCCGAAAATAATATAGTTGGTTGCAACTAGCGGATGGTGACAGATGGGCTGAACTTACAACTTGGTTGAAGCTAAGGGAAATGTGGGGCCCTCCGTCTTTTTTTTACTTTGTTGGTCTGTATAAGCAACGTCTTAAGAGATTCATGGTTGACTCTCTTCCATTACTCTGAGGTTATGGTAGGAATGACATTATGGCAATGGGCACGGTCGGGACGGATATTTCGTTATTTGTAGTTGTTTAGATTGAATTTTAGGATGGATGATTTATTATGGAACGCTAGTTAGGTCCAGATTGAGTCATATGATCGAGAATGGGACGAATTTGAGTCGAGAGAGCACCAATTCTTTTCTCATCGATTCAACGGCACTCCAAAACAAGGAAAACGGGTCGGATAAAGTGGGTCGGATCGAAATTGCAATCCCTGCTTTACGAGTATTGCCTACAGTCCTTTGATTCCGAATGAATGTTAGGGTGTACTTCGTGTCATACGAAATATTAAAAAAAAAATATTAAGATAAACTGGATTGAGCATCATTGTATTATTAGAGTATGGAGATTAATGTAAGAACGTAAAAAAAATGTAGCATTTCATGATAGTTTATTTATACTACTTATTATTGTTAATTCATTTGGTTCCGCGCCATTGGATAAAATATCAGGATTAAGTTATTCTTGATTATCCATTTGGTCTTAAGTTTTTTTTTTATAGGGGTCTTAAGTTTTGAGTTAAACGAAATGAATTGGTTAGGAAAGATTAGAGTAGATGAATTTTGGATAAGGCTGGATGACACAGCCACACACCACACATCACGGGTCTTTGATATGACAAAGCAGCCGATTTAGGCTAAATCCACTTTGCCTTCTCTATCGTTGAAATCGTTGGGTTTACGGTGACAAAAGGAAACATTTTGGATAATTAATTAGACAGAAAAACAAGTTGTGCTAATGACATAATTATAATTAATTCCTTACTGAATATATTACGCATCGTATCTGCCGAACTTCTTATCACTAAAATACGGTTAAGCGATTACTTCAGTGGAGTGAGCGACTGATACCGGTATCAGCTGAGATCTAATGGAGTTTTTCAGTAAAATAAAATATTTTCCAACATTAATTATTGTTTGTGCCCCGTAACTAGGCACCCCGAACCTCCTCGTGTGACTTCCCTGGCGCGCACTCTCCTGCACGCAACACGGCTAAACTGAGCCCAAGGGAGGGCTCGTTAGCACTCCGACGCCCAAGTCAGATATTATCTCTAGAGAGAGAAGTGAATAGTAATTTTAGAGAGAAGTTCCAACCTGAGTAAATGAGGTTCACCAACCCGACTATTTATACTCGGAGCTCGGCCGACCAACATCCGTTTCCCCCGCCCTTCGCCAGTCCTGCATTTAATGTGCCGTACGGCTAAGTACTATGCGCCTCGACCATCTGACCCCTTGCTCAGATGTCCGAGGCGCATGATGTCAGCTGGTCCCCAACCCGTACCTTTGGACGCCCTGCGGTTCTCTGTCGCACGCGCCCCATGTCAGAGCCGTGGTCCCGCACGTTTGGGCAGGCCTCCTTCTGGTCAATGGGCCGAGTTCCTCCCTACCGCCGGGCCCGTCGGGCTAGGCCCGATTCTCTAACTTACCAGCCTCCTTTATTGGGCCATGTAGGCCCACACTACGTGGGCCGTGTATGTGTCCCCCAACAATTATTATTCATCTATTTTTGCCAATATAATAACTGAAATTAGCAAGAAGTGAAAATAATCGAAAATGTATTTCCGAACAGAAAATCAGGAGAATTGGATCTGGAAGAAGCCGAACAAGTTGATGCTGCTTTGCTTTGTCAACCATACCCGGCCTCAAGCAATGACGACAATGGAGGTTAAGCCCACTAAGAGATAAACACAAAACCCAAAATTGGTGTAACTCGGATCGTAAGCCCATACAAGAAAAGCCCATCACTATCTATACCCAAAACCGTAGGATTAAGGGTAGGGCTGGCTATTTGATCCGGGTTTTTTGGTTTTACCCGAAACCGGACCGGGACCGGATAGTAAACAATCCAATCCAATCTTTGGACTTAGATTTGAGGTAAAAAACCGTTCGGGACTGGATCGAAAACTGGATAAAGACCGGATAAGAGAGCTCAACACCCAAAATTTAAGGGTAATTTGCATAAACGGTCACAAACCTTTGCACTTAGCACAAAACTTAACAAACTCCTCACCCTTTCAGGCCTTAGGCCACTCAAATCCCCACAAACTCAATATAAAATCAAAACCGAATTGGGACCGGACCGGGTCAAGACCGGACTGTATCCAATCCAATCTTTGGTCCTTATATTTAAAAAAAAAAACGGACTAGACCGGATCAATTTGGCCCAATTTAACCAGACTGGACCGTATAGCCACCCCTAATTAAGGGAATATGAGATGTTATCTAAAATATATGAAGAAATATCAAAGTCCCCAGCCCCTCCCTCTGTCTGGCGCTGGCCCAAAGCCCATCGCCCTTAAACTTGTAGACAATGAAGTGCTAAAAATAAAAGGATATCTTCGACAATTTCATCATTTCTTCCCGGGGGAATTGAAATATGGATTCCTATTTAACGCCCTAATTTTTTAAAATTTTCTTCCTAAATTAATCAGACAGACGATATTACCCTCAATTTCTAAAACGATCGCCCCAACTCATCGCCCTAATCCCTAATTGGCTCTGCTCATCACCGACGGAAGGAATATTCGGCTCATGAAATTCACCGGCTGTTGACGAATCTTGCGCAGTTGCTCTGCTACTCGGTTGACTGAAACCTTGGCCAATTCCGCGCGGCTGCTTTGATGCTCAGTTGACGGCGGCCTTCGCCAATCTTCCGCGGGTGCTCTGCTGCTCGGTTCGCCTCGTCTCCACCGCCAGGCCTGCCACTTCGCCGATCGAGGACACAGAAGAGAGAAACTAATCCCGCCCCGCCGGCCGCCTCTGCTACTGTTGGGTTCTGAAGCGTCGAGTTCAATCGTCTGCCGAGACATGGTTTTCGAAGGAGGAAGAAGGAACCGTCACGTCGAGGTTCTTCGCGGTCGAGGAAGGAGGAGGAAGAAGACGGATAGTCGCTGTTTACGAGGAAGGAGGGTGAAGACTGATCATCGACACTTGTTCATCGACCTCCCGTCAACTGTCAGCAGAAGCAGAGCAAGTCCCTTTCTGTCCTGAGCCCTCCGACTGATTTTCATATTCTAGGAATTGGCGGCGTCGACTGGGCGGAATGAGGAACGGAGCAGCCACGACGAGGACTTCCAGGTGAACGACGGTGAAGGGCAAGGACTTCCAGGGTCAATGGTGACGACGGGCGAGGACTTGTTCGCCGGCGATGGGGATCCTAGGGCGACGGCTGACGTTTAGGGCGAGTTCTATGTTTTTGGGAATTGTTTTTATTTTTTGGAATTTGGTTAGAGATTGGGATATATTGGGGTAAAAACGTCAACTTATCTAAGTTAGGGCGATAAATTTAAAAAGTTAGGGCATTAATTAGTACCTCTCGAAATAGATTGTTTGTTGCTAATTCAGAAGGAGTTTTTTCCAGAAATAGCACCTTTAAAAAAAAATTACAAAACTAGCACCCTCCCAAAAATATTTACAAAACTAGCAGCCTTTTTTATTGACCGCACCCTCGTGATGCGTTTTACATATAAACCGCATCCCCCAGGTGCGTTTTATATGTAAAACGCACCTGGAGGGTGCGTTCTATTCTGGTGGGCCTAAACCGCACCTTGGCCATGCGTTTTCATGTCTGGCCTACATGAAACGCATGGCCGAGGTGCGGTTTAGGCCTGACCTACCTAAACCGCACCTTAGAGATGCGATTTATTCCTCCAAGAACGAACCGCATCTCTAAGGTGCGATTTGGCCATGTAGACCGCACCCCCCAAGTGCGGTTTACGTGTCAATAATTTTCCGACACCCGACACAGCCATGCAGAGAATTATGGACGTAGGGCTGCATGGCAGACTAAAACCGCACCCTAGAGGTGCGGTTTCACAATTTTTTCCCCTATATAAGACTTGCCGGAAAACCTCTACTCTTCACACCTCTCATTCTCTCTTTCATTTTTCTGTTGTATATCTATATTTATTTAGTGTGTTTGCCATTAAGATTAACTCGTAAGTTTATTTTGTGTTACTTTTTATGCCATTAAGATTAACTCGTAAGTTTATTTTGTGTTACTTTTTATGCCATTAACATTAACTCGTAACTTTATTTTGTGTTACTTTTTATTGTTATTTGTGATTTGTGATTTTTATGATATTAACTAAACTACGGTTTGTTTGTTTGTGTGCAGATGGCATTCCGTCAGTTAACGCTTGGCTTACGGTGGAATGGTTACACGGAAGAGACCGGAAAGGGGGCCACCTACGTCGGTGGCAATTTTCAGAAAATAACGGTCGGTACCAGACCGAAGCTTGAAGACCTCCATCAAATTTGCACTGACGTTACTTGCATGGATGGCACGAGGAGGGTAGATCGTATGGTGTACCGATACCCAAACAGAGCAACTGGGTCATTGTGGCATGAGGAATATACCATAACCACTCAAGATGACGTAGATTCCATGCTCGAATTCTTGAGGTCCAACAAATTGGTCAAAGCCGAGATGTTCGTTTACACCGAGCCAGCCGTTAGTGTTTGAGGTCATTCTGGACACGGTCAAACATCTGGTATCCATGGTGGAGGTGAATTATATGACGATCATCCCTACCAAAGTTACCATGATCCTCATTCCTATTTTCAGTACCAAGATGGAGGGCAAGGTGCAGGCCATCATCAATCTTTCTCGTCATATGAAGAAGAAGTTCAACCGGACATCCCCAACCAAGCCCAGTACAACTTCTTGACAGGCAGCGGTAGTTTTCACAACTACCATTATGGAGCTGATGAAGGTGCCTTTCATGAGCAGGATCAGATGGAGGCTGCCACACCAGCACCACTCAGC